CAAGAATATTTCGAAAATCTTTTAGCTAATCCAAAAGATGAGGATATAGCTGAAATTTATAGTTGTATTGGCACAACAAAAAGATTAAAAGGTGAATATGATGATGCACTCAAAGATTATCAACGTAGTTACAAAATGATAATTAATACTAGACCGGAACGTTCAAAAGATTTATTAAGATTATTGAATAATATGGGAAAAGTTTATATGGAAAAAGACCAACAAAATGAAGCATTAGATTATTATTTAAGAGCTCTAAAAGTCAGAACAGATACATTAGATCCTGAGTATTTCGATCGTGATATAGCAATTTTATTAAATAATATAGGTCTAATTTATTATTATAAAGGTGATTGGAATAAATCGTTAGAATATCATTTTGAATCAGTCAATATGAAACAAAAATAAATTTTCAAAATTAGATTAAATGGACATCAAATTGCTCAGAAAAGCGCCAAAACGTTTTTTAGATAATAAAAAATAAATCTGGCATCTAAATTAAAACAAATGAGCTCGTTGGTAGAGGATTTGATTCTCTATCCGACGATATAGTTTTCAGAATTTTTTGAAAAAATATCTAGGTCAGGAAAATAAATTTAAAACTTATAAATTTAAATTTAAAATTTTCATCACGAAGATTTGACTTTCATTTGTTTTTGAGTCCAAATTTGTAATCACTGTGAAAAACTGCGTCTAATAATGTATTTTTAAGCTTTGCTCAAGTTAACACACTAATTCGAACCTTCTCATCCGAAGATCGACCGTTAGCTGGCCACGCTGCACATATGAAACTGTAAACGAGATATCATGAATTCTGATATTTGTAATATTAACACGATTAGATCAGTAGCACATAATGGTGAGCAACTTTTAATAGCAAATGATTGATCATAAAACTAACTAAAATCCTATCACCTATCACTAGTCAGATTTATTTTAACGCTACAAATAAGATTTAACAAAATGTGATGTAGAAAACTTTATTTAAAAATGTTCATCTGTCAATACCGATCTTATTAGATAAATATCTTATAATTATCAAAAAAACAATTTTTTGCTCAGAAGTCAGTCTTTGCTAATTGAAAAAAAAACATTTTTCATCACAGCAGTCGTGAAACCTAGAATCACAATGACAGTAATGGCCACAACGAAAAAAAACTTGGGGGCAAGGATTACGTCCATGGCTTAAACTTTATTATAGAAGAAACCGTAATCGAATCGGGCTGTGCCCATTGCATGACACTAGTAGAGAGAAAGAGACATGAAATAAAAAAATAAAAAATAAAAACACTAAATAAATAAAGGAAATAAAAAAGAACAAAAACAAAATGGTAAAATTTTACCAGATGCAAACAATATAGAGGCATTACAGATTACAGAGGTGAGTAGAGGATGAGGATGATGGTGTAAAGAATTTTCACGTAAGAGAAGTAACATCAATTATGCCCAAAGCGACATCTCTAATGAAATCAATGATAGCCTTATAAATACTTTTACTTTTTCCAAATTCAATAGACAACTCCCTAAAATCAAGTAGAAAGTGAAGAGAGAGAATAATTTGTGTGCCTAAAATGAAATTCCTCCAACCAAGCGCTAGCATTAGAAAATTTGGTGCTTGCTCCACACTGAAGCAAATTGAATAAAAATTGGGCGACGGATGCAAAATTTGTTGGTGAATCCGACAGCGGGTTCCGCGCCAATGAGAAAAATAAAATTTAGGCCAAAACCACGTTGATTATGTCGACGCCAAAAAAGAAGTGAAGATGTAATTATAAGGAACCCGCTGTTGGATACACCAACAAATTTTGCTTCTGCCGCCCAATTTTTATCCAGTTTGCTTCAGCGCGGAGCAAGCACCAAATTTTCTAATGGATACCGGTCAAATACGACCTTAATTATCAAAATATCAATGAAACTATTTTTAAATAACTGAAATACGGAACAGAGCTGATCACCTGCATAATTTTCCACCCCTGCGCGATACCGCGCAGGGGCAAAATAAAATTTTTCCGCGTTGCAGTTTGCAGGTTACCGAAAAAATCTTTTCTTCTGCACAGGCAGAGGCTGAGGGTGAAAAATTCTGCACTGCCCTGCCCTGCAGGTTGGCTGCAGGTGGACCCTAAGGCGAGGTATAACAATTTTTTTTCCCAGTGACCACTATCAGTCTGTATTACACACTGATAATTATAAACTGTATCACCAGTTACGATTCACTATCCTTGTGATTCACACACTTGTCCTATATTTTTCTCTTTCTGTTATCGTTGTAGTCGTTTGTCATCTTCTATATACTATAGGTAGTGAGCATAGTAAAAGAAACATTGCATACAATAAGAACGAAATTCATTGTTTTTGTTTATTCTATATTTTTCGTTTAGTTTAGTTTACACGGATGCGGTCTAGGCCATTATATCACAGGAAATAACATATCAAATGATATAAGTGATTACGGATAAAACGTTTCTCTCCTTCATCTTAAAATGTCTAGTAGACATACAAAAAAAATGTTAGTTAGTTTCTTTTCATTAAGAGATCATTCTGACCTTCAGTGTGATCAATATATTTCTCTTGGTCTCCTCTCTCTTTTTCTTCTCCACATAAAAACGTCTTTCCCTGCAAGATTTTACCTGCAGTGAATGCAGGTAAAATCTTCTCTCCTGCAGGGAGCGCAGGCAGAAAAACATTCTTCTTTATCTGCCGGCCGTTAGTGGAAAAATTTTTCCTTCACCTGCAAACTGCAACCTGCCTGCACTGCCTGCAGCTTGCAGGCAGTTTACAATGCAGGTGATCAGCTCTGATACGGAACAACAAGAAATATATCACTTTATTTAATACTGAAAAATTTTACACTCACGTACGACAAAATTTTTTAGCCAAATCAGCCGGTTGACAGATCGAAAACTTGGCGAAATAACAAAAGTTTTATTAGTCGATCGATGGTTCGAGCTGAAAGAAATGTTTTTGGCCGATTGTGGGCGCAGCCGTCAGCTCTTCGAACGGTTCCATCTATGATGCCTTCTATATCATTCAAGATCTGCAAAATCATTTTACGAGATAGATTTTTTTGCTTCATTTGTCTGGAACTTGATAATATATCTTGAATTTTAAACAAAGGTCATCAACAGTACAGTGATCCGAAAAGTGTTCTCCACTCACACGTTATCATTTTGTTTTGTTTCCCATTTAGCATCCATATATGTCGGAGGTGTAGAGTTTTCACCATCGTCTAGAGCATCATGTTTAGTCTATTGTCGCTATTCTTAGAACTTAGAATTAATTTCTTTTTCATTCATCGAAAAAATACTAAAAGGATGGTGTTTTTTAAGGCAGAAAAATTATTAAATCATTTTTGAAAAAAATTGCGCATTGATTGTGTGGAGGCGTAAAAGGCGTTATATACCAAGTAAGAAAGCATGGTGAGCGGTTTTGTAACCATTTTAGTATCTCAATTATCTTTTCAGTACTTTTAGTAGTGCATTTATCACTAGGCATGCACCGAGTAATTTACTAAGCATTTTATGTTTTTTCAAAAACCTGGCGTTACATAAGTTACTTCGTTAAAATTTTTCTGACTCGGTAAGAATAGAGAGCAAACATTTCTCTACAAGATGAGAGACTGGATAGCTCTGTATGATTTATTTTAAGATTTGGGTCGCAATACCTCAAGAACACATAATCGAGTAGTAAACGAGTATTGAGTATACATTATATAACGTGAAAACCTGTTATAGTGTATGTCTGGTGTGCATACAAGGCGTACTACGATATGGATACACATGGGTACATCATTATGGCATTTGCGTTGAATAAATTTTCTGGCAAATAAATTAATTTCATATATATTTTGAAACTTGAGTATAAATACACTTGTTTTTAAAAGACATTTGAGTGTAAATTTAAACTGTGACTAAGTATGTATCAGTTAAAAACTGCTGTTAGGGCATCCGAGAGAATTGCTATACATCAGTTATCCCGATCCCCTCAGAGCTGTAAAACATCTCATTTTGTAGAAAATGTTTGTTCTACAAAATGTATTTGTTAAAAAGGTCCAAACGTATACCTGACAAAACAACTTAGAGCATTCTGCAATCATAGGAAAAAAACTGTTTATTGTTCGAACAAATGCAATTTGTAGAGCAAACATTTTTCTACAAAAAAGAGACGTTCCGCAGCTATGAGCGAATCTTGATAACCGATGCATGGTAATTTTTCCCAATACCATTGAAAAACTGGTGCATACCTAACTGTGACTATATTGACAAATGATATTCAAGATTTGAATCATCATGTGAACATTTATTGCCACATTCTCCTGAAAGTCATGCGTTGAAAGCTGTTTCACGCGATTTTTAGTTGCTTATCAATTTATTAGGAAGTATCGAGATGAAGAAAAATGACCCACTATTGGTGTGTACTAACTAGCACAGGAAATAAAGTATGATGTCAAGGGGGAAAAGGTTTGGAACAATCGATTAAGTAAACAATAATTGTTTATATTAATGTTTTGGAAAAGCAAATTATCTAATAGTCCTTCATAGACAATTCAACAGTCCGAGCAAGTTCGAAGAGTTCTTCATCTGCATAACCTTTATAATAATGGCTGAGTCTATTGACACTACCACGAGGTGTCACGAAGGGCTATTGACACCACCAACAACCAGTGAGGCTATTGGCTCATGAAAATTGAGACCTACTTGAGGTGTCAGCAACGGCTACTGACACCTACTGAAGGTGTCAATAATGGCTATTGACACCACCATCAGAAGTGTCACCAAGAGCTGTTGACACCTCCAATCACCAGTGCATGAAATAAAGCTAGCACCGGTAAGGTACGCTTTCGCCCGATTTTTACGGTTAGATTTGCTTATAAAAGTTTGCAGAGCTTTTGATTTTGATTGATCTGCACGAAGAGATAGCCGAAACGAACAGAATGAAACAAATTAATCTTTTCTTATTATTGTTATTGAAACTGAGATATTAGAACAAGATTTTAAACTGGCGAAGAAAATAAAACAAAATGTGCTTTTTAATCTGAGTGAAAATTTCCACTCTCAAATTAGAAACAAAGTTTAGCTGAGCTATATTTCGATGATGCGGTCCTGTTACTACCAATCGAGCTGAACACACTATTCTGGCTGTCCTCCACGGGTCTATGAAATAAAAAACAGCTCTATCCGACTTGGAACGTTTATCAACACTTCTTATTGAAAAGTCATTCAAGATCAACGACTAAATCAAAATGATTTTGCCTCATTTCTTCTTGAATATAGATATGATTCTGCTGTCGATTGACTCTTAAAGGATTTAAATTTCAACCGAGAGTACGATACCGAGAATACGTTTTGTCTGAGCAGAGAATTACAGAACAAACGCTATATCGTTCGTTTGATCAAAAAGAAATAAAAATAGTAACGAAAAATTCTCAAGAAGGTTCTCAGCGATCAGCGTCTAAAAAATTAGGAGAATAGGCGGTAGAGCGAACTCAGAGTGAGAATTGTCGAATGCAAGTAAACAAACTCGCACTAAAATTAGGTCTCAGACTTTCCAAAAACGCAGACGTGTATTTCCTTTTTGACATACAACATACAAACTCTGCAAATAAGTGTTTATTAATCTGCAGATTCCATATTCTTATTGTTATTTTGGGACAAGGTAAACTGTAGAAGTCGAAGTGGATGCTTCAGATCGATCGCTACTTCGAGCGTTAATTATTATCTTTGTGGGCGTAATTCAAAAATAAAACAGCGAAACAACAGCAATCGCTTTGATAGTAGTAGCGTGGTTACTCTATATATAGTGCGCATTTGCAGTCCTCTGACAACGACAAGAAAGAATTTAGACAATTAATCGTACACTTTTGACACTGTCCTGTAAATTGAATATCTTTAATAGTAAAAAGACTGTTCTTTAATATTCGGCGCCACTATAATCAATTCAAGAATGGTTCAGCTTCAGTCTGCACACTCATAGGTGTCAATAGCCATTGTTGACACCTCTGAGTACTAATATGTAGATTGTGCGCGAAGTGTATCTCATATAATGACATGAATGTACTTCAGATATAGGTGAACTTCGGTGAAATTCATTGGATGAAAATTTAAAATTCATGTTGAAACGCTAAAAGAACTCATTTGATAAAGAGGATTTCTTCTGCCACGAAGCAGTTATACAGATATTCGATGATGTCACCAGTCTACATGAAGATTTATCCAACGTAGAGTTGTTAAAAATTTCATCCAATGAATTTCACCGAAGTTCACCTATATCTAAAGTGCATTCATGTCATTATATGAATACACTTCGCGCACAATCTACATACTATATGGAGGTGTGAATAGCTCTTGCTGACACCCTTGGGTGGTGTCAATAGCCCGGTCAATAGCCCGGATAATAATTTGCTACTTTATTATATGTCATGTTTTTATCGGGTGCGATTTGGCATACTTTTTTGATGTTAAAATGTGGCATGCAGTTGTCCTGTTCAATAGGCCTTCCAGGGACGTTTGGATGTTCGCAGAGCGCGGTTCGACGCCTAAATGATGATACTGATGGATCAAGTGTAATTGATCTAGTTGCACGCATCAAATCAAACCATGGTATCAGCTGAAAGACATTTTGATACTTTTTAACATCAACATCATCTTTCTGGACATTTTGTGTAAGAAAATCTGGTGAATCATCGATATTCTGTTGTATCAAATGTAAGACTGTACCGATCATGCTCAACATTAAACAAAAACTATAGGATCTTCGTTTTGTACAACATTGCCGTGCCAAATAGGTTCAGCATATTCAGAAGAGCCATTGTGATCCAAAAATAATTTTCGAAATGTTTTCCAATCTTCCATTTTTTCCGCATCAAACCGTCTTAAGACAGATAAGATATCAAGTGCTTCGCTTAACTCTTTATCTTGACTTTTAATCTCCGTGAATAGACCAATCCAATCTTCTTTCAGTGTACGATAATCGTTGATGAGAGGTAAAACGTCTTTTACTTTCAGATCAGATATATAATTTTGTATATTTAATTTGAATGTATCAAATAGTAGTTGCTGATTTTGAGCCGTATACATGTGTGTTTCGATTATTTCATCGAGTTTTACTTCACTGAGAAGAATTTGTTTATCTTTTTCCAAAGTTTCAGGCGTATATGGTTCAAAAATATTGAATTCATCAATAAAATAGTGCGTACATTTACCAGAATTCAATATATCTACGACATATTTAATCCATTTTTGAGTAAGACTTAGTGATGTTTCTTGTAAATCGTTGAGATTCATTGTTTCACACATTCACAAAACGTTTGTTTTAATGAAATAAGATGGTAATACTGTCCGTATTTCTTTTAAATATTTACAATAGATACTTCTTGCAATACCATTTAGGACTTGTGTATTGAGTGTACGATGTTTTGCAAGTAAAATTTCAATAGCTAAAAACGAATAAGGAAATTCCAAATATTGTTCGTCAACACACGTTTTCGTTGACCATTTGGGAACAACATGCATTGACGTTTTACTCAATATTAAATCAAGTAAATGTGGACGATTTTGTTTTATTCGTTCAAAAAACGGTTGAACGTCATCTGGCCAAAATTTTAATTGCAACGCTGGTACAAAATCGGAATCTGTTGGCATCTCTTTTTCAATCTATTGACGATGTTGTATTTGCAATATGTTTATGTTTATCGTAAAAGTCGAGTAATGCCAATGATCTGACTAAAAGTACTTATGGCAGTTGGTAATAGTAACATCGACCGGCTAAACTGTATACATCTTGAACGTCTGATAATTAATTGATAATTAATTGATAATTAATTTTCAATTGAGAAAAATTTGATAGATTTCGTTGTTGTGACGCTATTTTTATTACGTTTTCAAATTGTTTTGCATGATCGATCCGTTGGATTTGATGAGTAACTTGAACACCCGTATTCGACGAATCATCATTTGTGTGGCAGTCGAATCTGGACTCATATATACCAACGTTTACAGTTTTTTCTATTTAACGATACTTCTCTTTCATAGCCATACCATCGATGCATAGAATACCGTTTCGACTTATCTCTGATTGAAAACTGATTAGTACCATTTGGTGTAACACCTATAGATTCAATCTGAGCAAAACTAGATAGACCTGATGGAATAAGAGAATTTTTGTTATCTACTATTCCTTCAACGATCATTATGTTAATGTCTTTTATATTTTGAATTTTATTTTTATTTTTATTTTTATTTTGAATTAATTAGAAAAGTAAGCAAAAAACCTTTTATTTTAATTTGTTTACAGTAGCATCATTTGTTCTTTGTGGTGTCTTTCATGTAGAAGTCAGCTTTCACACTTCTGTTCGAATACGAATTAGGCAGTTCACGGAACAATGTGCATTGTCAACTATCAATGTATTAGATTGACGATTCGTCGAGAGGCAAGAGCAAATTGGTGTCCGCGAATGAGTCGATCGGCAACATAGCATTGATCTCATCGGCAATTTGTTCCGTTGTGGCCAGTGTTGACATCGAGCTATTGCGAAGTACTATGCCATTTTCGCTCGTTTCATTCACTACCGTCATTTCTGTCTCGACTGTCGACGTCGCCGTTCTCTCTTGAGCTGAAGTCAAACGGCGTTGTTTCGAAATACGCGCACTTTGACTTTGAAAAGTCATCTCTTCCAATGGCAAATAATTATTATCAGTTGGTGTAGCACGTATTGAAATATCACGAACAGCACGAAATTCGCCGCAATTATTTAAATGTTCATTTTCCAAACGGAAAAAGTTCCAAATAAATCGTCGAATTACTTCAACGATACCAAAAGCAAATCCGATGATATCGGCATATTCGGCAGATGGTGTACGAAAATAAATAAATACATTAATGACCCAAATGTATCGCAAAATGAAATCTTCAATAATGGCAGCATAATAGTAGATTTTCGATGGATAGACGATTTGTTCACGTAGATATTTATTTTCATCAGCATTCTTATCGAAAAAACCCCAGTCCATTCTGAGATCCCAGATGAATTTGTACGTTGCACCGATGAACGACGTCGCAAACCATAGGTAAAGGTATGGATTTACTATTTTATTGTTATTATAAT